GTGACATTGAGGGATATTTCCATTTTGTTCACCTACTGATATGTACTCAAAGTGTCTTCATTCCATTTTGTATGAGACCTGTGCATTTTTCAAGTAGCATGTATGGCATACAACCAGATGCTTGCATTAGTGGACATACTTGTTCTTTAAGAAAATTAGATTGAGTTTAACTTTCAAATTAGGTCAAACTTAAGTCATTTCTTTTCGAGGTCTGCATTTACTTCAAAAAATAAAAAAAACATGTAACACTAACATGTGTTAGTTAAGTAGTCACTGTGACTTTTGTTAAATTTCAGAACACTTATTTTATATGAATGCATGGTGTTGCTCAGAAAAGGTTTGAAATATTTTTCAAGAATGTTCTATGGAAATAGTACACTTCGGCAGTTGTATGGTCCTGAAACCACTTTATTATTTGCACTTTACCTAATACATCCAGCCTACTTTAAGTTAATGGCATTGAAGTTGAGCATTGCTCATAGATTTTATTTTTTACCAGGTGTTATTTTTTATTTATTTATTTGTATTTTAAATCATTCACTGGCCTGACTTGATTAAAATTGTGTTTACAAATTACATTGTGTTTGAGTTTGAATTATATTTTGTACGTTAATGTAGATTCTCAGTCACCTAGGACATGATGATCTTGAAATTTAAAATGAAAGCAACTGTACTTTTTTCTTGAAGTCCAGCTTCTTAACTCTTAAAGAGCAAGTCACCCCCTACCAGAGTCTTACTCCAGTCCCACTTCGTGTTTGAAAAATGCAACAAATGCTGTTGCTTGGCAGACGAGAGGGCAGAGCCACTAACAAATACACACGCATACAGGCTCACAACAAATTTGTGACATCATATGGTACCAGCTAAGCCATAGGGTACCTCTTAGCCATTGACGATGTCAGGTTTAAATTCAAATGCAGTGCAGAGTTTTTACCTGAAGAGGGTGCAACACTAACAGTTTTAGGCAGAAAATTTTAATCTTAACTAATATGTTCTTCAGTGCCAAATTATTGACTACACATGTCTACTGCACGATTAGACACTCATTTATATGATTTATCAGCAAAAAATGTTGATTTGGGGGGTGGCTTGCTCTTTAAATCTCAAGATTACATTTAGTACAGCATTTTTAAGAATATATTTTAAATAAGTAACTAAAAAGTTACTTTTAAGAGTAACTCATTTCTTTTTTATGTGAGTAATCAGTAAAGTAACTAAGTTACTTTTTGAATGAAGTAATTAGCAACTGTAACTAGTTACTTTTTTCAGTAACTAGCACAACACTGCGTGTTATACAGGCTAGTACCCGTTGAGGGGGGTCCTGAGAGTGTGATTCATTTCAACCGACTTAAGCCGTGCACTTCTCTTCCACTAGTTGCAGCACCGATGGCTGTGGGGTCCCGAGAGAGAGTGAGGCAGAGTCTGCGTCAGCAGGATGCCACCTGGGAGGACACCAGCAGGGTTCATCGGCGGTCTGCAGAGACAAGCAGGTCTGGCGGCGCAAGTGACCCGGCCCCATCACGTGGAGAGGCTGCTCGAGGAGGTGCTGCTGCAGGAGGACCGGAAGGACGTCTCCCTGGGGAGATCGACAGACGTGGAGCTGCGGAACAGCGGGTGGTTCATCAGCCGGATGCCACCTGGGAGGACATCAGCAGGAGTGCTCAACGGTTTTCGGAGACGAAGGGCTCCGGTGATTCAAGCAACCCTGCCCCATTGCATGGAGAGGCTGCTCGAGGGGGTGCGGTTGGAAGAGGATCGGGAGGACGTATCCCTGAGAAGGTCGAGGGACCTGGAGCTGTGGAGCAACGCGTGGTTCGTCAGAGGAGACCCCCTGTTTGGTATAAGGATTATCAGGTGGAAATCTATGACTCGAGGGCGAGTCCTTCAGGACAAAGAGGGGGAGAGTGTGATGGACAGAAGACGGAAGCTGCCGAGCTCCGAGGGTGTGGTGATTGGACACCAGCTGGTCCTCGTTATGGATAACGAGGCCAGGGAGGATAAAAGGGTGACAGACCTACTGAGAGGGGTGCGTGGTCGACCTGTCATTGTGGCATCGGACTTTGGGGGGTGGGGTCGTTCGCAGCCGGGTAGGGCTGCCGGCGACGAAGATAGCTGAACAGGTGTTTAGTGTTCCAGCGCCAGGAGGGAAGGCTGGTCGCCTTCTTTAGACAGTTAGGGCTGGGCATAGGTGATGCCAAGGCCGCGCCGACATCTGCCGCTACGGACTCTGGCAGTGGACTTATGTTGTGGATTTACCCGCCGTCCTCGCAAGCTACGCCCCGGGGCGTTGGAAGCTCAGACCCCGGGGACGGGGGTCACACCATCCGTGACAGCTAAGTACCGCTGCTTATGTGACTCATGCTGGACAGTTGGTTTTAGAAGAGAGGGCTTGGGCCATGGTGTTTTATCGTTGTGTTTTATTATTGATTGTGCAATAAAGTGTGTCTTTTATAAGTCGATGCCTACTGGTGGTGTGTTCAGGTTCTGACCGGAGGGCAAGATATTCTGCCCGTGCTGCCCACGGCTACTTTTATTACAGTTAGAATGAAATTAATCTACCCTTTTCACACATGTGGTGTAAAAAATCCTTGAATGTTACAAAGTGCAGTCAGAAATTACTAACAATAATTTAAACGTTAAGTTTTATGTCATTAATTTTGGAAAAAGTTTCAGCACTTAGTTTTTACTAAAATGGTGCCCATGGTTATATTTAAATTTTTTACCAGCGGTCTTGTCGAATACTCTAAAATGAATCGTACATAAGGACTAGAAAAAGTTACGCTATAAATGTCTAAACTTACTTTACTGTGTGAAGCTTTAAAAAGATAGACTAGCAACAACCATCTAACTAAAATAAGCCACCAACCGTTATATTTTAAATCAATACAGGCGGGTATCTTAAATGAACCATGTAAAGAACACGAGAACTAGAACGTTAAGATAGAAATTAATACACTTTATTTTACAATTTAAACAGGGTTTCCCTTACATAGGCGTAGCCGTGGCGGGCCGCCACGGCTGAAATCCCATCGCCACGCCTACAACATCCCAAGTTTTATTGATGGTTTTTTTTTTTTTTTGCGCCGTTTCCCAAAGAAGCAGCAGGAACTACTGTGTTGTTGCTTGTGATCACAGCAGGCAGGTAGCAAGGAGGAGGAGGCACGGCAGGGTGGTTACAGCTATGAGCGTACGGATAAAGCATTTTTGACGAATACGAGCAAGAAACGAGTGTAAAACTCGGAAATATCTGTAATCGTGCTGAATGAAATTCTCATTGGGTAACTGACTGTCTTCAAGCTCTGTGACTGGCCAGTCAGATAGAGCGCCCGCCCCTCCCTACACGCAAAACTGCAGCCGGGAGCTCCGTCAGCTCGGTCCAGGCATCAATGCACACACACAGACAGTAAGCCGGGCGTGCACTGTGCGACTTTTTCACTTTTTTGAGCCGATTTTCCACTCGTGCGAGAATCCACAAGATCGGGGCGAGTTTTGCGCTGAGCGTCGTGTAGTGTACAGGGGGTTACGAGAGGCGATTAACACCACGTGACCAGCTACCGATCAGCAATCGTGAGCTCGCACGAACTTCTGGAGTGTTTAATATTTAGCTCGTTCCTCATGAGGGTTGAAGCGGCGCAGCGAGCAGCTGCGACCCAAAAAGTATCAGAACCGCTCACGGCGTATTCGCAATCATGCATCAACTCCGCTCGCCCGCTATTTCCCTAATAACACACGCTGTTCGTTTTTGTTTCTACACGTTTTTTTTACTCACAAAGATTGTCAAGAAAGTGTGTTTGTCGTGTTCATGTCAAATTAAACTGATCACAAAACACATATTTACTTTCTTAATTTCGTTTCCTCATCCAACCCCCATAAATCCCTGTGTGTCCTCCTGCAGCACTCCCGAAGGACAACAGGCAAAAACAAGACAAAAAGTCTGACGTGTTGTGTAAAAACTGTTATTTTTGGCATATTTTAGGTCCGACGTGTTGCTACCAGACGTACAGTGAGCACATGACTCGTGAGATCTACCCTGCGCTGAAGTCGTACAGTTTGAGCTGAAGCTGTGTTACGAGTGAAAAAGTCGCACAGTGTCCGCCCAGCTTATTATAATGTTCACTGTAATGCATCTTGATGTTCTTAACAAATAAATCAAATAAAAAATATTGGTCAATAATGCCAAATATGTCAATTTGTGTTTCAGTCATTTTTATACTGGCTTAAAAATACTCCATTAAGTCTACTAAGCAGGGGTGTAGAACGTTTTTATTAGGGCCAGCCCAGTAATGATCTTGGACCAAAATAAAGGGGGCAGAAAGTCAAATAAAGGGGGCAAAAGAAGATGTTTTTCCATACGCCAAGAAAAATTAAATGCCAAATCCCCCCTGCAAAGTGTGTCACTGAGAGTTTAAAACAGAAATTATTATTGTGCAAATACTGGTGTATTCACCTTTAATACTAGTTATTACAATGCAGCAGTTGCTGGATTGGTGCAATTCAAAGTGGAGTGCATCAAATAAAACAATATTAACATAAAGGTGAGACGTGTCATAACCCCCCCCCCCCCCCCCCCCCGCCAACACCACCACAGCTGGAAAAATTCCTAGGGGAAACACTGTTAAAGTAATATGAAGTTGTTAAGTTCAGTGAAAGGGTAGGTTAAACTAAACTAAAATATAACTCTAACCGTTACTTTTTAGATTTGTACAGGCGGGCATCTCAAAGGAACCATGTAGGCTGTGTTAAGAAAACACGAGGACTAGAAAGTTCAGACTGGAATTAAAAAAACGTTATTTTACTCTTAAAGATAATATAGTTAAGTTCTGTGCGATGTAGCTTTGAAAATGTAGGTAGTAACAACTACCAAAAACCGTCAAATTTAAGGCGGGCTTCAAACAATCAGTCTCGAGTTGAGCTAGCAAGCTCCGTTTTTCTACACATCAGCTAAGTAGTCTGATTAACCTGCAACGTCTGTTCAAGCATTTAAACAAAAACACAGTTACCTTGTAATTCTGGCAATGTGGTTAAAATTCTCCTCCGTGCCGAAAAATGCCTCTAATGGCCGCTGGCGCTGCTGTTGTCGGTGGCATAGCACCCAGAGCTGTGTTAGCATCTCCGTGTGCAAGGCTCAGTGATGACGTAGGAAAAGCAAAAGGGAGGGGTTATTTTTTTGTTTGAAATGAGCGACCTCAACTTAAACAGTTTAAAAGCACATTACTCCAAAGAAAAGATAAACACAATTATACTAATTATGAATGAGTTTTAACATCACACTGTTAGTTTGGGGTTTTAACTAATTGTATAAAAGTAAGTATAACTATTTAGCTAAAGTGAGTGAAAATAACTGACATCATTTTAGTAAGAAGCACTATTGGGAATTACAGTGCAGCGTATCCAGTTATTGAACCTCGCTCTAGCAGACAAGGATGCTTCTTGATGAGGGCCTCTCCCACGCAGCTGAACTGGTTATCAGTTATGTATAGTCCATAACAAACAATTTCTTGAATAAGACAATCCAGAATGTTTGACAGTAATTTACAGTCTGGGATAAGAAGTGTTTTTATCTCCCTGTATTCAGCATTAGCTTTTTCAAGTTTGAACTCAGAATCAAATGCAAACTTTGGCACACAAAACTTGGCTGGCCATTGCAACCTTGAAAGTGACTGCTCAGACTCGGCAGGAGGAAGGTGCTCTATGTCAGGACAGCTCACACCAGAAAAACTTGAAGCTGATCTTTTCTCTACAGCTTGTGATCACATCCAGCGGTTAAGGAAGAAGACTGGGAAAACCCAACTTCGGAGAGATCAACTACCTTAATTGTGCCTCTGTTTTGTTGTTCAGATGTTGATGTCAGATTAATAAAGTCATTGTCAAAGAGTGAATCCATAATTGTAATTTGAGGTTGTATGTCAGTCCACACTGACGTTGCACTTCCTCCATCAGCTCTGGAACAGACTGAGGAAGTCCATTTGAAAGTATTAGCCTCTGGCTAGTGTTATCCACCAGGATAACTTTCAGTATGCAGGGTGAATTCATTGTTTTCAATCTGAAATGACAAAAAGCACATAATAAAAAATCTACAAATAGACAGTAACATGTGTCACAAAATGATATAAAATCTGATGTAAAAGCACACAGCACAATAAAAAAAAAATTAATAATAGATGCCCTGCCAAAGGTCATACGTGACCGAAACACGTCGATTTTCTTGATCTAATAATAGGAGGGTTCCTCGGATCACCAATTTCCCCCCAGTCTACATCCCAAAATAAATAATAGTTTTCACGTTGATCTAATAGCTAGGGATGCTCTGATCAGGTTTTTTGCTGCCAATCACCAATACAGATCTCAGATACCTATCACTGATACCAATCACAAGGATGAGACATGTTCACAATGACTGAGAATCTACATGCAGCAAAGCATGAATGATTCAGTCAGAATAGAGCTGGGCAATTAGGCCTAAAATTGGTGCATAGCCCTGGATTACTCAACTAGTGGTTGCGAAGTGTCTTTGAGCCACTACAGTCGAGGCCACACCTCTTCCCAACAGCAGGGCGACGCCTCAGGCCGCTCGCAGGATGTAGTCTAACGTGACCTGTACCTCATTGATGAGGGGGGTCTGGGCTGTCGGGTGGGACCCTTGCTCCAAGGTCTGCCAGACAAAGTGTGGGCGGTGGAGGCCTGCACGCGGTGCAGATGAGAAGAGGCATAGTCTGTCCGCTTACTCTATTATTGCAGGTCGGGGCCAGGTAAGCCGCACGAGAGGGCTCCATTGGAGGGAGGTTAACCAATCCTGCCATTTTGGTGTCGTCGAGGCTCAAAAACTGACCGTAACCCGGGACTGAGGTGCAGGTGGATAGCGGCTTGGCCTAGGATGCAGTGAGCTCAGCCACAAAATCCAGGTACAGTGGTAGAAAGTTCTTTACTAGGGCAGAACGATCTATCGTTTTTGACCGAAATTGCAATTTCAAACAGCACGATCACGTGACCGTCAAAGCTGGGGTTTTGACTGATCCAGGATCAGTTGTGTAACTTTTTTTTCTTTTTTTTTTTACATCTGAAGTTTTCTCTCTATTATGGCGACGGCAAATGCCAGCGCAGGGGAGGGGAGTGGGATGTTCCATCCAGAACCGAGCCCAACTCCACAGCTGACAGAGCTGCATGTTCAGCTTATTTTCCCTGTTTTATGTTTCGACACACAGCGCTGCTAGAGCCGATAACAACGGCACCGTAGGTGAGCCCGGGACAGAGCGAGATAGAAAACATAGTTGAGTAATGGAGAGAGAGACTCCTCCCACATCGGAGCAGGTTCAGGCTGATTTCTAAAGCTTGGTTTATGCTTAATCAGCGCGAGTGCAGAGTCGCGCATTCTAATTGACTTGAAAGCTCAACTTCTCTTTTAAAAATGGTTTGAATGTTTCTGATGGCACACGTAAGTTCAAACAAGCTAAGGTGTCAGAATGCGTGCTTGAATGCGTATCAAACGGCTTTGAAAAACGTGCAGCCAGCCTGCCTTGGTAATGCAGGAAAAACTGTGTGCATTTGTTATTTAATACATTTAAAAGCTATTTCTACCTACAGATTTCCTCCATGCATTTTTGGCGTAGAACATGTTTCATAAAGCTCCTCTCTAGATAAAAAGCACAAACACAAGTTGCTTCACAAACACATAAAAAAATTAATGGGAGAAAATATTAATAGCTTTAACTGTTTTTATTGTATGATTAAATAGTAAATATAAATGTGAATGATTTGTTGTACTAGATTAGAATCTAGACCATATTTTCACTTAATCTGCAGGATTGCTTGGCAGGCTAATGTTGGACCTTTGTTTGCAGAAAATCGTGAATTGAACCGAAATCGCAATTTCTGCTAGAAAAATTGCAATTCAGTTTTTTGTTAAAATCATTCAGCCCTATTCTTTACCTCTGCTGGTTTTGAGGGGAGGTAAAACCCAGAAAAGTGGGACCTCTTTTGTGCAGGTGCAGGAGCGGGCCGGTCTACTTTGAGCCTCTCCGCTGCACGCCAGCAGAGCGGGAGAAAAGAAGTGTAATTTCGTAGCTCGGAGGCTGAGGTAGCGCCTGGAGCTGCACACACCACCGCTAAGAAGACCTCCTCGTCCTTGAGTAGGTCGTGACCATAAGAGCAAATGTCCAAAATGTCTCCTTCATCCTCTTCCAGAGGAGGAAACTGAGAAGCCTCTAGGTCTGGTCCGGTTAAATTGTCCGTCATCTCCATCTGATCTGCCCAGCTAATAGCGGGGACATTGATAGCTAGTCTGTCCAAGTCAGAGCCGGGCGAAGCCGGGGCTGAACGGGAAAGCATGGGGTCCTACTGCAGCGTCCTACTGCAGCGTCTCCCGGGAGATATTTTAGAAACTTTACGTGCCATTCGAGCGTGGGACGGCAGAGTTGGCGACAGAACTCGCATGCCTCCGGGTCTACAAGAGCTCTCCTGATGTGGAGAATTCCCAGACAAACCGGGAATGCTTCGTGTAGGTCCTTCTTGTGAAGAGAGAATCCACAGTCCTGAAGACAGGGGTGCGAAGCGGCTTTCAGTGAAGCGATATCCAACGCGGTGCTCATTGCAAGACACACAGTGGAGTGGTACACCTGATGGAACAAAGGCAAACAAGCTGAAAAGCCATGAAAGATAGCACTCGGTGGGCGAGAACGCTAGCCAGAAGGCAGTAGAGTCCAGTCAGTGAGCGGTTAAGCTATCTTTCACTAGCGCAGCTGCTTCTTAGGTTTGTTCTCAGCGAGGTGAAGAGCGTAAGAACCGGGGAATGACAGTGACACGGTTGCAGAGTCATTAGCCTTACAGGCATGATTAGATGAGTATTCAGCCAGGCCACACGAGGGTGTGATGTCCCATAGTACCTTTGTTGTACCGAGTCAATCGATTAAAAGGGAACTGCTGCACACATTCACAACCGAACGGAGAGGAAGAGTGATGCTGCACACAAGGTCTCTGCCGGCTACAAAGTGGCGATGAGTGACAGGTGATTGGCTCTGAAAGGCATGGATTGGAATTTGTGACCATGTTTCACAAAAATTGACAGATTTTGATAATTGGTCGATTGATTGAAACATCCATAATGATGGCCCCTGAATATTAATTATGGTTTACTTGATAACTAGTTTAACTCATAGAAACTGATAGACATACTAATTAACAAACCTTTGAAGACAATGTGCCTTTTTAAGGCCACCATACGTCTTGAGCCAACAATATAATCCGCCAGTGGATAGATATTTGCCAGATCTTTAAGTTGCACAAGCTTTGTCTCTCTGGTTGGTGAAGGGGTTATTTCGAAGGCTCTGTAGTGGTCAGTGTACCATCCATGTAGCAATCTCACAATGAGGATCAACTCATTGGCAATGACACACCTTTGAATGATCTCAGCAAACTCCGGCATACCACCAGCTGACCCATGTGCAACTATCATGCCTGTGTTGTACTGTATACCTTTCATGGATGCAACCTTAGCTAAATGGATTTCAGTTGTTTCAGGGTACTTAGATTTGATAAGCAAAGCTATTGCTTGATTCAAAAGATCTACTGGAAATGAGGACACATTGGGTACATGAAGAGAAGCTTTACCACAGGAGGGTGGGTTTAGGTGAAATGCTATCATGAATTGGTGTCTTGAAGCCAGAGTCAGTGGTATGTTTTTATAACAACTAGTATGCTTCACAATTTGTTTAAAGTAGCTATGTTTAGCTTCAAACCTCAGTGCCCAGACAGTAACTAAAGGACCAAAACACCTTATTAAATAGGGGTAATGTTCCAAAAAGTGGTGCTTTGGTAGAAGTCTAGCTGTTTGAAACAGGTCCTGGTATCTTTGTCTGTGCTCAGTTATCTTGCTTTCAAGGTAGGAAATGGATTCATCAGTATGAGTCGGAGCAACAATAAGTTCCACGATATCTTTTAAATCCATTAACACCAACCATGCAGGTTCATATTCAGGCACCAAATGCCCAATCAAAAAAGGTAGAAGTCTCAACAAACTCCAATTTTCGTGGGCATTGCCCCCCACAGTTTTTCGAGCAGATACATTTTGTGGTAAGATGTGAGGTTTATTTGTCTTATCTGACCACTTATAAGGGAAGGCCAATATTGCTTTATTGAGATCATCAACAGTAAAATGCTTTTTTGAAATCAATGCTGACAAACAGCAAGCCAAATCCACCGGTACAACACCCTCAAACTCATCATGGGCTACATCAGGAGGGAAACCAGTCAGAACATGGAAATAAGTAAGGTACTTAGTGAAAATACACTCTTGTTTAACTCCAAAACAATGGTTATTTGTCTCAAGAGCTGTTTTTATATGCTCTTGATGCTGTTCTTTAGTTCGCAAACCAAAAGCACCAGGGGCAACTGTGTTAGACTCAACATCACATCGCTTAGCTGTGCAAAATCGACAGTAGAAATCGCCTGAAATGTTTTGAATAAAGCCTGTAATACTGTGGGCTCCTTAAGTTATCTGCTATAATACTCTGCACAGTTCCTTTAAGAGAAGAGCCTAACAAAGGCAGGGTTTCCCTTACATAGGCGTAGCTGTGGCGGCCCGCCACGGCTGAAATCCCACCGCCACGCCTACAAGATCCCAAGTTTTTTTGGGGTTTTTTTTGCGCTGTCGAGGTTAATATTTGATGGAGATGAAGAGAAGTATGAATTGTGGGAGACAAAGTTTCTCGGTCACCTCCGCCTCCAGGGATTAAAAGATGTGGTCCTGAAAACCGAGGATGAAGACGATGAGAATGAAGATGACGTATCGAAAAATGCAGAGGCTTATGCAGAGCTAATACAGTTTTTGGATGACAAAAGCCTGTTATTGGTGATGCGGGATGCAGCAGATGATGGGCGGAAAGCCCTGGCAATCCTGAGAGATCATTATGCAGGTAAAGGAAAACCTCGCATTATAAGCCTGTATACGGAGCTGACGTCGTTGCAGAAGTTGGACAGCAAGAGCATTACGGATGATGTTCTGAGGGCAGAATCAGCCATTTCCGCATTAAGAAATGCCGGTGAGACACAAAGTGATGGCCTGCTGATTGCCATGGTTTTGAAGGGATTACCTGCATCTTATAAACCCTTTTCCATACATGTAACCTAGAGTGATGGCACCATGAATTTTACAGACTTCAAAAGCAGGTTAAGAAGCTACGAAGAGACCGAAAAGATACGAGCAACAGCACCAGATAAAGGTGATGTCATGAAGGTATGTGTGAAGCCAAAGGCTTGTTCTGCACAGGCATGGTCAGACTCGGGAAAAAGAAGCACTGATGGTACAGGAAGCACAGACCTAGTGTGCTACAGGTGTGGCAAAAAGGGATATAAAGCCAGAGAGTCTTATCACACAAAATGGTGTGGCATCTGCAAGAACAACACACATAATGGAGACCAGTGCAGGAGGAGGAACCGGTGGGACGACGCACGGACGGCTGTGAGTGAGGACAATAAGGAGTACGCCTTCCGACTAAGAGATGCGGACAGAGAGGTCCGGACAGACAGAGCGAGGGGTATAATGGTGGATACTGGAGCGACATCTCATATTGTCACGGATCTGAGAAAGTTTCGGGTATTCGACGATGACTTTGAGTCCGAGAGGCACAGCGTGGAACTCGCTGACGGAACCAGGTGTAGAGGGGTCGCGGAAAGAAGGGCCATCATACATCAGTGACCTGATTGTTCCATACGTTCCTAACCGAGCACTTCACTCTCAGGCCGCAGGTTTACTGGTGGTTCCCAGAATATCTAAAAATAGGATGGGAGGCAGATCTTTTGTAGAACCAGCTCCCAGCTTTAGTCTGTGAGGCAGACACCTTGTCTACTTTTAAGACTAGGCTTAAAACATGTTTATTTGATAGGGCCTATGGTTAAAATCTGATGTTAACCCAGATCAGGACAAGTGGGGGAGTAAAGAGAGGTGGAGTGTACAGTCGGTAAAGACGACTCTCCCTTTTCCTTCCTCCAACATGCCTCCATCTAATGGGCCATTCCCATCTGTACCGGGTCGGCCCGGGCCGGGTAGCATAGGTTGTTTACATATCTGGGTGGCCTGGTATTTTTCTGGGCCAACCAAGGCTCATTCTCAGCCCTCTTCTCGAGGGGGTCTGCTTCAGGCTGACCAGGGCCAACACACCCACTGC